TAAGAAGGAAAAGAAGATGGAGATGAAGAAGACGATGATAGTTGCAGTTTTCATTTTCTGTGTTATCAGTTCACAAATGGAAAGCGTCGAGCCACAGGTGGATTGCTTCGACGCTTGTTCTACCGGTTGCCCTCTAACCAACGGTAAGTACTTAAAAAAGAAAATCCTTTTTCCATCACTTTCGTGTTGTTTATCATGTGAAAAGTTCAAACTTCCATTGCCTTCTTTTCTGTTGCGGAAGACGGCTATCGGATAGAGCAAAATGACAACTGATAATTTGAGAAAATAAAAATGAAGATAAAAGAGACAAAATTTACGTGGAAAACCCCTAAAATATTTAGGGTAAAAACCACGGGCAACGGTAGAAGAATTTCACTATGAGAAAATAGAAATTACAACCTCTCTCGATCTACCAAAGAGAAAACAAATGATAATTCTCTCTAGATAAAAAAGGAGAAAACAACTCTGAAGAAACTCTCTAAAATCTCTCTAGTATTGGAAGAAAGCTAGAATGATTTGGGATAGTTTTGAAGCTAAATGAGATAGGGTATTTATAGCTAAATCTTAAGGACTTAATATTGTAAATACCCTAAAGTTTAGTGACTAGAGTTTGTAATTTATCCATACAAAAAAAATTATGCATCTACTTTCGGTGCCTTAATTGCACCGAAAGGTGCTTTGACATTCTACAATCTCCCACTTGAAGATTTGATTGGAACAATCATATCTTCACATCATTCTTTCTACCTTGTACCATCATGTTGCTTACGTTTCTGACAGGCCACAAGAGGATCGACACCAAGTAAATTTATCGGCATTGATCGCCTTCGTCATGAAATCTGCTATGTTGTCTTTGGTATGGATCTTCTGCATATCTATCGTCCCTTCTTCCACCTTTTCACGAATGAAATGGTACTGACTCGTATATGCTTTGTCCTTTGAATGAATGTTGGATTCCTTGCTATGCAAGGCACTTGATGTCACAAAACAGAGAGACATACTCTTGATTGTGCCAAGCTCCTCCAGTAGCATCTTCAACCAAATTGCTTCTTTACTGGCTTGTGTAGCTGCTACATATTCTGCCTCTGTTGTGGATGTAGCCACAACTGACTGCAATTTTGAAACCCAGCTTACAGTTCCACCAGCAATTTTGAACACATATCCTGTAGTAGATTTGCTTTTATCCAAATCTCATGCATAGTCAGAATCTACAAACCCATTGATTAGTAAGTTTGATCCTCTGTAACATAATGCACATTTGAGGTCCCTTTGATGTATCTCAGGATCTCTTTACTGTATTCAAATGCTCTTGCCTGGATTCGCCATATCGACTAACCACTCCCACTGCTTGTGCAATGTCTGGTCTTGTGCTATCATAGCGAACATTAAACTTCCCACTGCTGATGCATACGGTACTCGAGACATCCCTCCTCTCTTTTCACTACTAGGATCATACTGGAGGATAATTTGAAGTTAATAGGAAGAGGGGTAGAAATTGGCTTACAATCTTGCATTCTGAATCGTGACAAGATATTCCTCAAGTAATTCTTTTGTGAAAGCAAAATCCTATTACTTCTGTCTCGGGTGAATTTGGATCCCTAGATCTTGTTTGCTGATCCCAGTCCTTCATTTCAAATTCCCTAGCCAGTTGTGCCTTTAATTCTCAATATGATCTTTGTTGGGTCTTGCAACCAACATGTCATCCACATACAACAACAATATAACAAAATTGTTATCATCAAACCTCTTGAAATAAGCACAAGGGTCTGCATTAAGTCTGTAGTATCCAAGGCACATAATGAAGGAATCAAATCTCTTATACCAACACCTCGACGCCTGCTTTAGACCGTACAAAGATTTGTTCAACCTGTAAACCAGTTCTTCTTTTCTTTTTCTTCAAAACCTTCAGGTTGGAGCATGTAAATCTCTTCTTCAAGATTCCATGAAGAAAAGTTGTTTTAACATCTAGCTGCTCTAGATGTAAGTTCAATGTAGCACACTTGCCAAACTACTAGAACTGTTGTTAGTCGAACCACAGGAGAAAATATTTCATTGAAATCAATACTTCTTTCTGAGCATATCCTTGACACCAGTCTTGCACGATACCTCTCCACTTGATCGTCACCATTTCGCTTGATTTTGAAGACCCATTTGTTACCAATTGGCTTCCTTCCTTGTGGTAGTGGCACAAGGTCCCATGTATTATTTTTATGAAGGGCTTCGATTTCTTCTTGCATCGCCATCATCATAGTGAAGCATCTGAGCTGTTTATTGCCTCCTGGTATGTTGATGGCTCACCGTCCTCTGTTAAAAGACAGTAGCATATTACCTTCTAACATAATCTGAGTGCCAATTGGGCGTTTTCTCATACGGTCTGATTGACTGTTTTGGAGCTTCAGAACTCTGGTTCTTGTTCATCATGTGCTAGTTCTTCAGAAGAATATTCTTGTTCAACCTCCTTTTCCACATGTATCTGCGAGTCTCTGACTTTTCAAGCGCTACCATCTTCTTCTTTCTTTGTAGCTTATCTTCTACAAAGATAACATCTTCTGCTGATGATCACTTTGCGGGAAGTGGATCCCATAAGCGATACCCCTTTACACCTCATACCCCAAGAATTTGCATTTCCTGGATTTAACGAAATGCTTTCCATGGGACTCTTTAATTGTGCTCCGATGGTATCGTATACCAACCGAGCAACCGGATGTATCATTTCGAACTTACCGACAACAATGGATGGTAAACCTTCAGCTGGTGGTGACATGCTGCAGGGTGCACTGCAGCATGTCCCATCTAGGCCTGCCAGAATCGATACAGCTTCGGAGCGAACAATAGTCTGCATTTCCCGCTTCCTTCTGCTCTTGGTTAGTCGAAAACATGAGACATGAAAGCATTGTTATCGAGGATAATGCGAGCTCGCTCGAGCACAATTAAGCTGGTAAGAGTGAGGATGATCGTATTATAATGGCAATCGATTGTATCTGCCTCATGATCCAGATTTTGGCTGCAGTCTTTGCTGTTTAATCTGAAGACGAAGATGAATGATCACAAGCTTCTCGACTCGTGCCGGGCCATGCTTGATGGTGCTGACCAAAATGCTGGACTTCTTGTTGAAGCCGGTACGGCTAAGGATGATGGGGCAATTTCGGATTCTCGACCACTGCATAATGCAACTCAACAGAATCCTACATGCCTGAAGACAATGAGGCAGATGGACCAAGGAAGCGATCATGGCACTTCGCACGAATCGGCTAGAGAAGCGAAAGTTCAGCTGAAGTCCAGGATGCTCAACTTAGAGAAGCAGAGCTTAAAGTGGAAGCATCGAAGCTGGAAACAGGACATGAAGCTGGACAAGATCAGACCGAGAAACAAGCGTCTGAAACTTGGAAACGAATGCATAGCAATGCTACTTAAGCGCAGAAGAACCGATCTCGAGATGGTTTAAGCATATCGATTCGAGATCGGATCGAGATATCTCTTTCTTTATATCCATCCATATGTATATCCATCAATGTTGTTCTTCTTTTCTCTAGCAATGGCTGCTGTTTTCCTTGACAATGCATGTCCATGTTAGCTTGTGTTCATGGTTCTGGTTTATCTACTTTCCATACATGATCATACCGACTTCATTCTAAAAATTTGATAAGAACTCAATATTTGTCAACATAAGATTCTTATACATACCAAGCATTTATTCCTCGACTTTCGGATTTAAATACTTAATCGATTCATGTTAATTTTGAAAAATGCAAAAAAAAAATTAATCTTGACTATATTTCAGCTATTTCAAGATAAATATAGCCATTGGCTCCCTTAAATCTATCTGCACCGCGAAAATCATTATAAAAGACCCTCAATGTTAAGCCTAATGATCATCACAAAGCTTCGTTTCCTTTCATTTTCGTAACTTTTTTTCTTCTTCGCCTTCATCTTTCAAGACATGGGTGCTTGCGCTAGTAAGCCAAGGTCTTGAAAGACGAAGCCTCGGTTGCCGCCTAAAACCCGAACCCGCCAAGAGAAATCTCTCTGGCCGGCCGCCGAGGAGAAGTAGAGGAAAACATGGCCAATGAGGACGAGGAAATCAGACCACATTCCCTTCGTTTATTGCTTGACAATGTAACTTTCTTCTAGCTTTTTCTCTCTCTTAAAGCATATTTGATTGTACCATCAAAGAGCAAGTGCATGACATATACGACATGATTCGAACTCATGATCTTTTATCATATAAGAATTCATTATCTCTTCTGCATCACTTACTTTCCCATGATCATAACATATATTTTTCGCATGGATCGATTTGCAGGAAGATAGGAATTAAGAAACAAAGAAAGAAGAAGCCATTATTGAGGGTGAAAGAAGAAGATAAACAATGGCAGTGGGTGAAAAGAAAGAAGAAGAAGCTAAGGTTGTAGTTGAACATGTAATGTGAGAGAGGTTCGTAATCACATCATTGTGTGCTGTTGATTTATTTTGTTCAGGAAATAAGTCAAATTGTGTTCATTTTTTTTCATTTAAAGGATCATTATTTCACTATTATCTTAATTTTTTTATTTGTAGAAATTTAAAAATACCAAGAACAAATCTGAAAAAAATCAATCACCATAATTATGCCATCACCATTCTATCTTTTACTATTTCAATGAAAAGGGTTTCATTGTATTGTTAAGTAGAGCTTGATTATATCAAATGATATCTTAAATGATATCAATCGCCATAATTATGCCATCACCATCATCATTCAATCTTTACAACAATGATGAAGATGAAATTTAAGTATAATAAAGGGACTAGAAGCACAATTGACTCGAGTAAAAGGCGGCTAGAGTTGAATTGCCAAACTGTGTTCCAATGGTCCACGTTGCTGTTGGCGTGGCTGCTAGGGAAGCAGTTCATGGCATGGCAAAAACGTAGTTTAATGCAAGCTGATGGGTTATTTCAATAAGTTCGCACCATATAAACAAAGGTGAAAATCATCGGAGAAGATAAGAAGGAAAAGAAGATGGAGATGAAGAAGACGATGATAGTTGCAGTTTTCATTTTCTGTGTTATCAGTTCACAATGGAAAGCGTCGAGCCACAGGTGGATTGCTTCGACGCTTGTTCTACCGGTTGCCCTCTAACCAACGGTAAGTAAAAAAAAAAAACCCTTTTTCCATCACTTTCGTGTTGTTTATCATGTGAAAAGTTCAAACTTCCATTGCCTTCTTTTCTGGGTTTTGAATTGTTTGATTGATTGATGAACAGATAGGCTTAGGCAGCGTTGTGAAGGCAAGTGCCGGATTAGATGCGGTCCAGGTAAGGCTATTGAGCACATGCGATTATCGGACACCGAGAGATTCATATATAAACACTATTAACACATGGTTTTATGAAATTTGTGCAGATTCCATGGCAGAGGGGAATTTGGGTTAGCACCAGGAAGATCAAAATCTGCATACACGTAAAGCATGGTTTCTATCTGTTGTTCTATGCATGTTAGCATATAAGAAATGTAAGTTCAATGGTGTTATGGATATATGTATCCGTATCCGTATCTACATTCGTATAAGATCTGTATAATACTTGGAATAAATGTACTGCTCTATTATTTGGTGAAAATGAAGCTGAGAAATTATACAACGTTGACTGAGCTGAGACAAACTATCCTATCAACTTTCCTACAAAAGTTGCGGCTTAGAATGAAAACCAATTCTGTAAGGTCCCTGACAACTCAATTTCTCAAGCAAACAAAGTAATGTCTGAAAGGACTTCTTCTTCTTCTTCTTGTTTCATAAACAAAGACTGGCGATGAATAGAGCAGCAGCCATCCACTGGTTTTGTTTCAATCTAAAGCCATAGTTCTGCAAAAGAATCTAGGATGGTGCCTTGTTGCTCAAGCACTTTTCTAGAAATGGCCATCGGAAACGAAATCCCAAGCTCGACCGCGCCCACGTCCTCTTCCCTTCCTCGTCCACGACCTGCCATAATCACTGATTAGCCATAAACGAGAACATCAATCATTTCATGGCTCCTTTTAAGTAAATAAGAAACTAGAAATGATTGATTTTGGGGTATGTCAAGTGTCTAAAACAGAGTACTCAGTACACCAAAACACCAAATAGAGAGAAAGCATTGGAAGAAAAGACTTACCACGACCCGCAGCAGGCAATGGCCCTGATGGGGCATTACCATTGTAAAATCCCGAGTCCCGTTGCATATTTCCACCACCGTACCCTCTCCCACGCCCTCGGAAACGTCCACTACCATGACCTCGACCTCTTCCCCCATCATATCCTCCATTTGTGTTCTCCACCATGCCACCATTGACATATGATAATCAATTAATCTTCCCAAAATAGTGTCCTTTAACTCATATCAGCTGCATTGCAAAAGCAAAATGACAGCCGAAATTCTAAATGGATTTTACTTGAGGTATACAAGTACTATAAAAGAAAGAAGCAAAGTTTCTTTTCTCAAACACCATTAATACTTCATGTGACGCTTCACTTTAGCACAAAACAACACATGCTAATTGCCTACACCTCCCCATTAAACGTGGCCATGTGCTTAGCTTTGGGTGTTAAGGGACGTCTCCAATGTCATTGATATGGGAATACAAATATCAACTAATGCAAAACTCGACATACACCAGGAATATATAATGATCAACTGTACATAATTATCTCACCTCCTCCGTTGTCCTCGAACTCGGTTGATGGCTTCACTTGATCAGCTGGAATTGGAGGCTGATATCTGACATCAAAGTAACAGACCACCAAAGCAACATGCCAAGACATCATTAATAAAGAACAGGATCCAACCCGCGATACTGTTTTCAACATCGCTAACTTCTAAATACAGATAAAAAGTGGCCACCTACCCTATTGAAGATGAATCCAGCTCCTTTTTAGACAAAGTAATAGTGATTATCGAAACATGGCGAGTGGTTTCTATGCTGCAAAAGCCGAACATTAGTGACAATCATATTAGCTCTAGCAAGAAAATTATTGCTTTTTGCACCAGAAGGGATAGGTTTCTTACGGAAGAAGGCCTTCTTCCAGCGGTTCCCATGTGTTTGTTATATCTATCAATCCGATCGATGTGTTCTGATGAAGACCAGCAATCCTCCTATGTAAGAAAGTTAAGCTCAGCGCAAAATGCAAGACACAATCAAATGCATACATACTCACACGTATATATAACATTTTTTTTATAAGAATTGGAGGCCTCGTTAAAAATCTTCCTTTGGAGGCCACGTATATATAACATTAAAACATGTTTCCACAAACAATAGAATGCATCATTGTTAACAAAATGCAACGCATGAGCATTATAGGAGTGTAAATGAACAGAGTGTTCAGTAAACTGATTGTGAAGCGTTCGTATAACGTTCGTTTATGTTCGACTTATAGGAAGCATGATGAAGAAGGTATGATTGACAAGGCACAATTTCAAAGACTTATAGGAAGGCTCATATATTTAACCCACACTAGGCCTGACATAGCCTATTCAATGCAACACCTAAAGCCAATTTATGCATCAGCCTGAAAAGGTGCATATGGAAGCAGCCTTGAGGATTATTCGATATATTAAAAAGAATCCAGGGTAGGGAATTTTGTTAGATGCTTCAAGTACATGTGAGTTAGTTGCTTTTTGTGACTCTGATTGGGCAACTTACCCGATATCACAAAAGTCAGTAATGGAATATTGCATAAAACTAGGAAATTCCTTGATTTCTTGGAAGTCAAAGAAACAGAATACAATGGCTCGATCTTCAGCAGAAGCTGAGTATAGAAGTATGGCCCTGACTATAGCAGAGTTGGTATGGTTAAATGGACTATTGAGTGAACTTGGAGTGAGTCAAGATCGACCTGCTAGGCTATTTTGTGACAGTAAGGCAGCATTGCAGATCGCTTCCAATCCTGTTTTTCATGAAAGAACAAAGCATATCGAAATCGATTATCACTTTGTTAGAGACAAGATTCGAAAAGGGTTTATCACATCTGAACACATACCTTCAAAGGAGCAACCTTGACTAAAGCACTTGGTACTGTGCAACATGAGTACTTGACAGTCAAGGTGGGGGTTGCAGATATCTTTCACCCACCAACTCGAGGGGGAGTATTGAGATAATAGAAGTTAGTTAGTTAGGAGTTAGTTGATAGTTTGTTAACAGCAGTTAGCAGCAGTTACTTTACAGTTCTTGTATATATATATAACCTTTGTATTATAAGTTTAACAGTGTGATTGGATGAAATATAAAATAGAAATATTCTTTATCCCTTGCATATTCACTTATTTAACAATAATATCTAATCTTATTAATAAATATGTATCCGCTGAACCAATTACCCGACCTGAGATATGATATAGACCCGAACAAGATGACTCAAAATTGATATGAAACTCGAAATAATTCGAATGAAACCAAAACTAGCCTGAATTTTGGTTGGACTGAAAGCAACCCGAACCAAAAGCAATCTGAATTTAGTTTACCCATATTAAATCGGAATCAAACTTTGACCCGATTTTAACTCGATAATTGAGTCTAAGTGAATGAAGAATTTATTATTATATATTATCTTTTTAGCATTGATAAATAATAAAACGATGTATGTTTTGTTCTCATTTTATATTATACTACTAGTTAATCATCACATCTAATAATAGTTTAATGGTTTAGTATAATATTTTCTCAGTTAAAAAACAATTTCTATATCCGATTAAATAACTTCTAGTTTTGAATTTGGTATATGACAATATATAGTCATATAAAAAAATTTAGGGTAATCTATGTCGAATACCACTCATCTTTATGCTCGTGATCGAAAATGCCATTGACGTTTCAATTTTGCCAATTTTAACACGGACGTTTATGTTTTACTCCAATTAAGCCAACCCGTCGTTAATCCGTTAACGGCACGATAACATGGCATGGACGGGTCGTGACGGTGATGACGTGGACAGTTTTTTTAAAGTTATTTAGTCCACGTAGCATCTGTATTATCTGAGAAAAGTTGGAGATTCGCCACCACAAAACTCCCATTTCTTCACCACCACAAAACTCTCCCTCACTTTGCCGTCCACCGTGCACGTATCATCCATTGCAAGAAGCTCGACAACCTCGCTGGCGATTCGCTCTCTGATGATGAAAATCTTATAGCGTGCCTTCTTGTCTTCTTAATTTTCTTTGGTTTCTTCTTGCTTTGCCTCGTAGGCTTTGTTTCCAGTATAATTTTTAAGTTGGTGTTGAACATCTCTGAGGGGGAATCAGTGGAGAAGCTCCACGAAGATGAAACAAGGGTTTTCGTTTCTCTGTCGTTAATACCATAGTCTTCAAAGCTTCCGTTGGTAAAGAATCCGCTCTCGGCCGACGAGGTGCTCATCCGATTTTTCGGAGTCGTTTTCCTTTTTCTGCATCGTCTTTTTTCTTTACCGTGTTGGGAGGCACTGGAGGTGGAGTTAAATCATCATCGTTTTCAAAGGTATTGTAGAATTTGCGATGAGGGCATTTGTTATCGTTGTAAACTTTCACTATAACGTGAAATATGTCTTCTTTTTCCCAGTGTAACTCCAATGTCGACGGCGGTGATAATTCAATAGGGCCACTCCAGTGGAAAGTACCTAAGTAGCAACGGAGACCATCGGATCTGCCATGACCGATAAGATCGGCGACGAAAACAGTGAACACCAAGTGCCCCCGAGCTAATGAATAACTCAGTCCCTGAAACCGAGTATGGATTACATGAAAGAAATTAATGGTGTTATTCAGAATTCTATTCGATGTATTTCTTTAGCGAAAGGTCGGGAATCAAGCTCTAATTATCAGAGGAGACCGACGGAGGGGTGGATTAAAATGAATACCGATGCTGCGGTGGATATAGTTGATGACCAAGCTGTCGTAGGTTGTGTATTTCATTTGGATCAAGGTGATTGGCTCTTTGGCTCCTCTCGAAGTACAGGTAATTGTTCAGTGTTGAATGCAAGGTTGTGGGCGATATGTGATGCGCTTCGACGTGCATAGAGACTTGGATATAGACGAATAGAATTGGAATATGATAATCTTGAGGCTATTGGTGGGCTTCTGAATTATACCTCGAGTTATCAAGGTAATGCTCTTTTCGTTGTGATCAAAGAATTACTACAAAGCAATGGGGAAGTTCATCTTGGTCATGTTCAATAATTTGAACAAATCAAATTCGAATATTCTAATGCTTAACTTGAGTAACTCTTGCTTGAATAGAAACAAAGATTTTCTGGAGAGTCCATGCTGGAAGTTCATAATTATTCTAAAAGTTATAACATCTCGAATGCATTTGTATACCTCGAAGTTCATGTCGACATACACGCATTCAACAGTTTGACAGAAAAAAAAAATCATAGACAACATACCAAAAACATCCATGACTCGTACCCTTCGATGATCTCAACCGCAAATGAACTTTCAATCACCAGGTTCGATTGACTATCCACATCAAACAAATCATGAAATGAATGGAACAAACAAAAAAAGCTTCCCGAAAGTTTATACAATTGTTGTAGAAGATATCAAGGGAGTTCAGACATTTGACAGATCCATGCACAAGAATCTAGACCCATGCATCATTTGAAAGGGCATGGCTACCTGGGAATAAACCAAATGACTGGGAGTTCTTTGTTGCGGGATATGGTTCAATTGGAAAAGACAGCACAAAGGATTCAGCAGCCTTATCTGATATATCATCTTGAAACTACATAAACAAAGGGCATTCATTTTTAACAGCACCGGTATAACCAGGGAAAAAGGTTGGTGATTCTCAAAGACGCTTCTGGCGATGGATTGTTGATGGCATGAAATCACAATATTAAGAACATAGACCTTTCATCAGCATACTGCTAGCAGATATAACAGGAAGTTCAGGAACATAAGGCATCACATTTTGATTGGCCTTTAAACTGTCAAATATGACATCAGGTATCTCATAGCTATTATTCTGCACGATATCATGAGGTCCTTTATCCAATCTATTAGCTTCACTGGTATTATGGCTCTCCTGCAGTGCTTGCAGGCACACTTCAGGAGGATACAGAGGTAACCCAGCACGTTGGCATCTCTTAATATGGGTATTCCAGTAATTTTTTATCTCATTATATGTGCGACCGCGTAACAATTTTATTTGGGGTTAAAACATTTTTTATTGGAGTTTTAAAATTTTAAAACTTTTAAGAAAAGATAACAGAAAAACATAATGGAGTTCAATGGTTAAGCATTCGGTTTAATTTCAAGAGGTTTGGGGTTCAAATCCCTATAATAACATAATATTTCAATAATTTTTTCAAGCAAAACGACGTCGTTTTGTCTTTATTGAGTATCAAACTATTTGTGTTGAAACGACGTCGTTTTGGTAAGTCATCACTTTCACGGCCCGTCCATGCCATGTCATCGTGCCGTTAACGGATTAACGGCGGGATGGCTTAATCGGAATAAAACATAAACGTCTGTGTTAAAATTGGCAAAATTGAAACGTCAGTGGCATTTTCGATCACGGGGCATAAAGATGAGTGGTATTTGACATAGATTACCCAAAAATTTATTTCAAAGATTTATTGATTCGATTGATTAAAACTAAAACTTCTAACTCTAAATTTGGGATGTAAAAATATATATTCACATTAAATACTTGAATTATAAGTAATAAAGAGCAGCACCGAAAGTTATGACGACAAAGAACGATAATGGTTAACCTAAAATTTTAAAGGTTGATCCGAAAATCTAAAGGATGACCGAAAAATCTAAAGGTTGACCTGAATTGAACCAACCCGAATTGACCCGACAATCTAATAGTTGACCGGAATCGAAACCAAATGATTCGATGTTGACCCGACTCGAAGCCAACCAATCTAATATTAATCGAACCCAAAACCAATTGATCCGATTTTAACCAAACCCGATACCCGACCTGAATTGAATTTCTATTGACCGAACTATATTTGAACCGACACGAACTAAATCTAAACCGAATTAATCTAAACCTGAAAAATTACCCAACTCGAAATAGCCCGACTCAAACCCGATTCAAATGACACAATTGTCACCTCTATTTATTAATAACTCGTATAAATGTTAACAGATTGAAATAATCTTGTATTATAGCTATACATTTTTATCATAATCGTATTTAAATATTTTAATATTGTGATGGGTTCAGTGTAGGGATGGGCATGGATCGATTTTTCAATTAATCAGACTCAACTCGAAAATTATAATCCCTCTACTCGACTTGAACCCGGTCCGAAAATTATATACCCTCCTCATATCCGAACTCGATCCACCCTTTTAAGATAAAATAAACCCGATCTGACCTAAAATAATATATTTATAAAAATATTATTTTTATTTAATATAAAATAAGAATTTAATTAAAATAATATATATATATATATAACAATTAACTCTAAATATATAAGATAAAATTAAGATCAAATCATGTCGAATATTTTTCACCTTAAATCCGACCCGATCTGAACGTAACCTCTAAAAAAATTGATTGACTAAACCCGAATCTAATTTTTTTAATCAGATCATATAATATCGAGTCGAATCAAAATCAGTCGGATTCGATCTTATACCCATCCGTAGTTCAATGTAGTGGGGTAGCTTAGGTGACTAAAAAGTCATATTGCAAGTGGCAAGTGCTCTGTCTCCCAACTTTGAAGATAGAAATGGATGTCCAATTTTTCAACATTGAATTAACCCGCAAACGTCAAATTAATTCAGTTATAACATTCTGACAATATGACTTACTTTTTCGGTGCTTCATCTACATTTGATATGTCGGTATATAATTGTACGACATCCTAATATAAGATTAAAGGAAGGTGTTATTGAAGATGTTAATATTTTTTTTAATATTTTTAGTATAGCGTTATTTAAAATATTATTTTTATCGAAAATATTAATTTCGTTATCTAAAATAAATATTTTTGATATTAACATTTACGGTATAAAAATAACATTTTAGATAACATCAAATAATAATATTTTTGGTAAAAAAAATAATATTTTAAATTACGCTCTATCAAAAATATTAAAAAATATATTAACATTTTCGGTAACGCGTTTTCTTAGTCTTATATTAAACTAATTTCTTAGACCTTGTTGGGTGGTTGGCTCACCTTCCACAAATTTATAATACTTTTATTATTAAATCCGAATTTAATTCTAAAATAATTTGAACCAAAAATAAACATGATTCAAATTTAATTTATTTAAATATTATCTAACTTCATCAATTGAATATATAAAAAATATTTTTTATTAATATCACGAGATAATAAGTTCATCTTAAACTCAAATCTGACTTGAACTCGCTAAAATTAAAAGTTATAACTCAACTTAAAACTCAAATTTTGTGGGAGAAAATTTTGTAAATTATCTTATTGAATTGAATTAGATCGAACTCTCACAATACTATTTTTTGGGTAAAGTATACAAATAATCCTTCGACTATAGGATGTTGTTTTGTTGAGTACCCCGATTATTAAAAGTTACAAAATAATCACTCGACTATAGGATGTTGCTTTGTTGAGTACCACGACTATTAAAAATACGAAATGGTCACCCAACTATTCATTGTGTTCCAAACTTGTCCTTCTCCATTAAAAATTTGATAGCAATTTGAGCTAGACGTTAGCTTGTTGATTGTGATATGATATAACATGATCTCATAATCTCATAATCTCAAACGACTATCATATCTCAATCAACAGGTTAATATCTAGCTCAAATTGTCATCATCTTTTTAATAGAAAAAGGATCGGTTTAGAAAAACTAAATAATCGGATGACCATTTTGTAACTTCAAATAATCGAGAGATTCAACAAAACAACATTCTATAATTAAAGAAATTTTTTATAACTTTTAATATTCAAAAAATTAAATAAAGCAACACACTATAATCAAATGGTCATTTACACTCTCTTTTTTCACAATCACTAATGAAGACCTACCGACCTAACTCCATTGAAATGTTTATATTTATTACACATTGAACCCCATTATTAGGGCACTGACAAGATCGCTGGTCGCCATTGATTTGGGGGGTTTGAAGTTTGAAATGTTCGAAGAATCATGGGGATTGCCAATTGGGTCCTTAAATTTTCTAGGTCTCCCACCATTATAAAAGGCGACTCTCCCCTTAGCCAAAATCCCCACACTTAAATCCTCTTTTACACACTGCTTTCCTAAGTTTTTTCCCCGAAGAAATGGTTCAGGGAAGAGGCGGTGCAATGACGGCGGCGGTGCTGCTCTGCTTGTTGTTGAGCCACCTTGAGTTGGCTCAGGCAGCCACTTACACGGTCGGTGGAGCCGGTGGTTGGACCTTCAACACCGTCGGCTGGACCAAGGGCAAACGCTTCAAGGCTGGTGACACACTTGGTATGCATGTTATTCGCTACTACAAATGAAATATATTTAAAACACGTAAATTCATAAATCGGGTAAATTACATATTTAGTATCTAAATTATCTGTTTTAATCGATTTAGTACCTAAACTTTAATTTTTTTCAAAATCATACCTAACATTTAATTTTCACTTTATTTTAGTACATATAGTTAAAAACTTAACGCATTTAGTACCTAAACTATAAGTTTCGGTCTATTTTAGTACCTAAACTTTCAATTTTTTCAAAACTTAACTTTAAATTTTGAACGTGTACTAAAATGAAACAAAAGCTAAAATTTTTAAAGACGGCTACTAAAATGAAACAAAAAATTAAACTTTAGATATGGTTCTAAAAATTTAAAAGTTTAGATACTAAAACGGATTAAAAGTGATAGTTTAGATACAAACGAGTAATTTACCCATTAAAATTTGAATTCGACTTGTTTTTGAAATATATTCTTGTCCATATTTTTAGTGGATATGTGTTCAAAATTTGATCACGAGTTCATAGATGAAGCTAACTTTCTAAGCAACTGAAGTTGGATAGAACCTTTTAGGGGGTCAAAATGTATTATTATAATGATATTAATTTAAATTATTACAATTTTAAAGTGACTATATTCGTAAAATTAACATTTTGGAGGGTCAAAATGTATTTTTATAGTTGTTTTATTTTACAAGATTACAATTTTAAAGGGTCTACATAAATCTACCATTTTAGGGTCAAAATGCAATTTTATTATTGTATTAGTTTAAACTTTTATGAAATCTAAAGGGACTAAAAAATAAAAATTTATCATCTAGATAGGCCAAGACATCTCCCAATCACTAGAAATGATCATGAGTCGGGTTAAATCTGACTTTTCACCCATTCAAACTCGACTTGAGTATTCAATCCAATTATCCGATCCGACTCGGATTTGGATTTAGACTTACTCAATTTGAACTTTGACTTAATTTTTTAGGTAAAAATTGGTTCCACACCTGAATATATATATATATATATAACATTTTATTTTATTAAATAAAATAAGGACTTAAATAAAAAAATATAATAATCATTATTTTAATAATTTTAGAATATGTAAAGAATAATTATATTATCATCTCGGGTAAGAGATTTTTCACCCTAATTTTTTTTTATAAAAAGCCTTCTATCCTATAGAATCGGACCAAATCGGAACCATTAAATTTAGGTAAACTAACCTTTAAAATTCAATTAGAAAATTAAGATTCATTCGAGGGCGTTCGATGCAATTAACCCTTTATATAATATTTGAGTGCAACGTTAACGAGTGATCAATTTTTTTACTGACCGCAGTGTTCAATTACAACCCATCAATTCACAATGTGGTAGCCGTAAACAAGTTCGGATATAGCTCGTGCACAACGCCCAAAGGAGCGAAAGTTTTCCGGTCCGGCAAGGATCGGATCAAGCTCGCGAAAGGCCAGAACTTCTTTATCTGCAACTTCGTCGGACACTGCCAATCCGGAATGAAAATCGCAGTCACGGCTGCCTGATCCGAGATAGCCAAGCCATATCAACATTACGTATTAGTGTGGTTTATAAGCTATGATATGGTAGTACTGGGGTAATGCTTTGTTTCCATGGTTTCCTTCTTGTACTCTCTTCGTAATACAATAAACTATTTTGCGTAAAACCGAACCGATCGCATCAGAATTTCGTATGGCATGTATGCTTACAGATGTCTCGGTCGTTGAACTTTACAACAGTTAGAGAGGGACTCGATACGATCGGTCGACCATCTTCAAAATGAACAAGTTCCCTCTGTCACCTCTCGATAATCTGCAGAAACAAAGAACACGATGGATTTCGCTTATTCGAAACACGGAAAGTAAGAAAAAACGCAGGGTCGCGGTGTACTTACAGTAACTCTTCATCCAATTATGTGATCTCCAACTGACCACGGCCACTTCCGGGTGACTTAATCGGTATCTGCAAGTCACCGAAATACACGACAAAGATTACAGGTATGAGCTAGACACGAAGACGAGTGTCGCATACGGATATAACTCGATGAATGTGAGATAATATACAGATTAATCCATACCAGACCAGCAATTCTGAAATAGTCGAATTTCACAGCTACCCTTCTGGGATTTATAGGAATTAAATTAGCAATGGCCTGCTAAAGAATTGTTCTTTATAACTATCAATATTCAATGCGACCTATTAATCGATATTCTCAAGTTTTAGTAGGAGCAATCCTCACAAAACTATTGGGAAACAGGAATTACCTGATTAAAAAATGGCCAAGTTTCCATATTTGAGCCCTGAGAGTATCCAGATTGATTGCCTGGTAGATCTTTCCATTAGGTCTCAAGAACTTTCGCCTCTGTTGTACAGGAACACAGATTTTGATGATCAAAAATGGATTCTTTTCCCAAAAAAAAAACCGTTGAAGAGAAATGGCAGATTGAGGAACAAGATAAGACCTTCGTTTGCAGAACTGACTAGGATGCCTTGTGCAAAAGCTCCCATTTTCCATTCAACAAGTTGGATTCAAGAGGCTCCTTTACCTCATTCACTGCCTCCAGTTTGAGTGCAATCTGATTCACAACAGAAACCCCATCGATGAACAAGCAAGAACAGTTGAAGAAGATGACTTATTTTCATGAAGAACAACAAAGGGTTAGCCACAATTAACCTGGTCCACACGCTATCGATCCTCTGGGTAGCCTCAGCGCCACGATCTAGAGGTGCCATGGCATCAAAAAGCTCATCTTTGAGGCTCTTTACATCTCTCTCTTGTGTGAAAACCCCAGAAAAGAATGAAACTTTAGTCCTCCGTTTTAGGGCATGGGATTTTGTGCTGAGAAAGGGTTGATATTTGCAGTGGGAGTTGCTGATGAAAGAAGGGGTTTTAATGATGAGGTGAAGGAGGAGGGAGAAAGGGTGGTGGGTTCTTTTGGAGATTGGAGATGAAGTTTTAGCAGAGTGGTAATGGCGGAGCTGAAAGCTGGGGAAGAAGATGAAGTGAGAGCCTTCGCTGAAAATGAAAGCTTTTCTGGGGAAGTACTGTGGAAGTTTGTTCAGTTGGAAAGTAGTGAATAATGTTGAAATCAGGTGGCTCTCCTTCTCTTTCAAGTTCAAGTTTCAATAATTGTATAAATCATATATAGAGTTAATTAATATTAGAGTTTAGGGTAAATTATGAATTTAGTACTTAAACTATTAGTTTTGATCTATTTTTTAGTACCCACCATTAAAAACTTACTGAACGAACTGATGATGCATAGTTCCAATGGACCACAAGAGAATGACAAGTCGACTAACATAGTTCAATTTCAGACTCATCAGACGGTAGACGATGGACATCGGAGGATGAAGAAATCGAAGAGTTCATCGTCGATTTAGGGAGATTGAAGCATTTTCCGGTGAAACGGAAGCCAAAATCACGTTCAGTGAGTCGAATAGTACATTTTAGAAAGTTTGGACTTCATCGGTCGACGAACTCATCCGTTATGTTTTTAACGGCGAGTACTAAAATGAAATAAAATCTAAACATTATGTATGATCTTGAAAAAAATAAAAGTTTAGGTACTAAAATGGATCAAAACTGATAATTTAGGTACTGAATGTGTTGTTTTCCCAAAAGTTTATTCACCATATATCTCCAAATTATCTCCGGACTTCATATTGATCTCCCAAACTTCAAATATTTTAGTTGAGTCTTTAATTATTAACGTTGTTTAAAATTTCAATCACATTCTACGCTTTAACAATTTGCTTTATCATTAAGGGTAAATTCTAGAAATAGTCACTGAACTTTTATGGTACTTTCATTTTGGTCATTAAAATTTTAAAACTTGCAATACAATCATTAAATTTTAATTCGTTTTCAGTACTATCACTTCTATCACCTACCGTTAAAGCAAGTGATATGTTTTCTTCTTCTTCCTCTTTGTTTAAGTATGCCGAACCTTTCTCTTCAATGTCCGACTCCGAACCCACCACCTCTCCGGACTTAACCCACAATTTATAACTATATGTATGTATGTATGTATATATGCACGTACTTGTATGCATGTGTATGCATGTATGTATGTACGTACGATGACGTGTAAAATCTGTAACTGATTTCGTCATTCCTTGAGTATTATAAAACAATAGTTTTTACATTTCCAATATGACGTTATAAGAGATATGGTTCTTGTATGTTGACTGCTTCTTTAAATAGTCACACCATCTCTTAAGAGTCATTATTCCCTTTGGGAAAGAAACAACTCGAGTATTTTGTCACAAAATCATAAGAACTCGAATTAACTGAATCGTTAGTAGAAATTGTTAATACTTTAGGATCACTTTTGACAAAAAAAAAACTTTAGGTACCGAGTTAAGAAAATATGTATAATTTAGAAGGTAAATTGTTAATAAAGCCTTTTATCAACTAAAGTATGATTGAGGCAAATTGGGAAGATAATTGGAGTTGGGCATTATTCAGGGATATTATTTTATTTGAATTTGACGGATTTCGATGTAATATTATATGATCGAGTTTTTTTATTTATTTTAAATTTATAATTGACTCGGGTTTTGAGTGATAGATCGAATTCGATTGAGTTTTAAAATGAAAAACCCATTATTTGATTTGAGATAATAATATAATTATTTTCTATATATTTAGAGATAATTATTATAACATCTCTCTTTGTATATTTTTTAGGTCCTTATTTTATCCAATAAAAATCAGATTTTATTTTATATTTATGTGGAGTTTGATGCGAATTTTATACGATATAGTTTTGAATCAGATTGAGTGAAAGAGTAGTACTCGAATAGGGTTTGAGCCAGATAAAAAGAGAAAATCGCCTCAGTGACCAAAAATGCCTTATAATATACGATTTTAACCAATTTTTTTTTAGATTTTCCAAAATGACTAACAAAATCGCAATGCGATCTCTAATTCGCAACGCGATTTTCAATATTGCAAATTCACGTTGCATTTCGCGTTGCGATAGTTGAAAATCGCGTTGCGATAGTCTACAGTGTCGTTGCGATTTTCCATTTCGCGTTGCGATAGTCTACAGTGTCGTTGCGATTTTCCATCTCGCGTTGCGATAGTACAGTGTCGTTGCGATAATCTACAGTAAATTAAAAAAATATTTTGTTTCTTAAGAATTTTCTCTAAAAAGATAGTATCCGCGCGGACGTGTCGAAGACACGTATTACCACGACTACGACCACGACCACGACCATGAGACGGTACACTATCGCAACGCGAAATGGAAAATCGCAACGACACTGTACACTATCGCAACGAAATGGAAAATCGCAACGCGAATTTGCGATACTGGAGATCGCGTTACGAATTAGAGATCGCATTGCGATTTTGTTGGTCATTTTGGCAAATCCAAAAAAAATTGGTTAAAATCGTATATTATAAGGCATTTTTGGTCACTGAGGCGATTTTCTCAGATAAAAATAGACCAACAACCATCCCTAGTATTACTTTTATAAGAAGTTTAAGTACCAATCTGAAGAAAATAACATAATTTAGGTACAAAATTGAGAATTAAATTTTTTATTTCATATTTTTAATTAATATTAATTATAAATAGTTTAACATTAATAAATAAGAGAAACAAGATTAAATCGGATTAGATTGAATTTACAAATTTAAACGATAACTGGATTAGATTTTAGGGTAAATTATTCGTTTAGTAACTAAACTATTAATTTTGACCAGTTTTAGTATCTAAACTTTCAAATTTTTTAAAACCATATCTAACGTTTAGTTTTTATTTTTTTAGTACCTCAATTATCAGTTTTTACCCGTTTTAGTACCTATTTTTTTTTATAAAAAAATCAAAAGTTAATGTTAAGTCTTAACCATGGGTACTAAAATGAAATAAAACTAAAAGTTGGTTATGATTTTGAAAAAAAAGTTAAAAGTTTAGGTACTTAAATAGATTAAAATTGATAATATAAATACTAAACGTGTAGTTTACCCTTAGTTTTGACGGACATACAATTTGGTTTGACTTTAGTGGCTGGTTTGTTTGATAGACCTACATTTGACCCTTAGCTTTTGGACACAATTGCTTATCACATATTATTTGAGTTGGTGCATGTTAGATATAATAAGAGTTATCGTATCACATGTCCTCAAAGTGTGACCATTATTTTAAATTGGTCCTTAAACATTTAAATGTTCTAATTTCATCCCTAAATTATGGATATCACTCTAAATTAACCCTTAAACTTTTGAATATTTCAATTTAATTCTCATACTGTGATCTTCCTTCTAATGGTCTCTAGACTTTTTAAACATTATTATTTCATCCCAAACCATACGTATATACTAATTACATCTCATGTTAATAAAATCTTTAGGCCAAGTTATATTGTTATATATTTGGGAAAAAAACAGAAATTAAGTTAAATTATGGTTGGAACTAATTACATATTTGGATAAATTTGGGGATAAAATTAGAGTACTCAAAAGTTTGGAGACCAATTTAGAAAGAAGGTCATCGTTTAGGGATTAAATTAGAATGTTCAAAAATTTAAGAATTAATTTAGAGTGAGAGTCGTTGAGGATGAAATTGGAATACTCAAAAGTTTAAGAATCAATTTAAAATGAGTGTTATAGTTTGAGGACATATGATACAATTAACTCATAAAATAATTTAATTCTTAATAAATAAATGAAAAATTACGCAAATATGGGATGAATTAAAATATAAAAAGATCAATGAAAGTAACTAAAATGTTAAAAAAAAGAGTATAACACAAATATATGAATATATCAAAATATATGTTAAATTATCAACATGTTATACTATATAAATTACATAATGTCAAAATTAGCCCTCCAATATTTATCAAAATGATAGTCTCCTATTCTATTTTTGAAACCCAATATTTTATTTTAGGGCAAAAAGATCCCTAACATTTAACTGAACAATCCCTTTGTTCTTTTTTCTGGGGCATTTTAACCTCAACGTTTCGTTTTAAGTTAAAAATAGCTCATATTTTAGAGTGTTAATAGTGTGTTAAACTAATGATTTTCATCTATAGAGAGTTTTTTACCCTAAAATAAAACGTTGAGGGATCAAAATGCTCTAAAAATAATAGGGTTAAAAATTCTAATAAAATTATTGAAATAAAAATTCTCTTGGCATAATAAATGTTAATAGTATTACTCTCTTAGAGGCATCAAAACTTTCCTTGTAATGTAAAACATACATGAAAAGAAAAATAACAGTGAAAAAGACAAGTTTTTGAATTTTCTCTCCTACCAAACAAGTTAAGAGCTTCAGATAAGCTTCTTCTTTTGAAAGTATCGTTTCAAGTACCAAATTTGCAAACAGGACACGGCGACGCAAATGCCCAAAGACGTGATACTGAACCACGCGACTCTAGCGTTTGTGTTCTCGCTCGTAGTCCTCAGGTCTGCTTCTCTGTTGTCCGGCAACGATGGCCGGAGAATGTTAGCTTACTTAAAAAACAAAAAGGAAAGAAAAAGAGAATGCTCAAACGTTGAACAAGTCCTAAAAAGAAATATTACCAATTACCTGTCCTTCAGATAGAGTAAGTTCTGGTGAATGGAATCCGCTGCTCCTTCAAGTTTCAACAGCTCGAGCTCAACACCCTACACGAAAATAAGCATGGTGAAACACACGAATTCTCGTGTACTGTAAATATAAAGTTCCAAGCTTTTGATGCGCATGTGATCATATTATCAGCCTAACCTCACAAACCCCAAAAAACAAAAGGATGAAACCAACAAACGCTATATTAATTCTTTTTGAGAAAAAGTTGATTGGTATAGCTTGTGGTTTACGAAAACCACAAACTAAAGAATTCTTCCGTTATTGGCATACCAGCAGAAACCCTTTCGTTCCAACGTTTAATCTGCACTAGGACTAGGAGAAGGACCACCCATAGTTTCCTCTCTAAATCCGAAAATGATAAAACAAGAAGAACCCAAAAAAATGCTTACCTCAATTTTTTCTTTTCTGGCAACCGACTCCCAGTCTTTAGCTGCAATGCCATTTTTCCAGTCAATGTTGACACTAACTTCTCCAGCTCCTTGATAATGGCCCTCCGACCAGAAACATGCTAGGTAGTTGCCAGCCTCCTGAGTTGTTAATGCAAATTGACCATGTGTCACATTCTCCTTGTGATGAAGAGTGTTCCCATAAGGGGATGTCACCTGTACAGTACAAACTGAGAGTTAGAAATTTGTCGCAAGTAAATTATTATCGAGGTGTCATCATTGGGGTTTACAGTTTCCACTTCAGAGAAGCAAATTATATTGAAAAGATAAAATGATAAAGCGACATTTAGTCCCTGAGCTTGGTCCCTGAACATGGATTTTTGATGAAGTGACACCCTGAAATTGTGCCATGTGGCATAATATCAGAGTGCCACATCATCATAAGGTTTAAAAATGAGAAAAGTTGCCAAGTTTAAGGATTTTTGAACAAAAAAAGCTTCATGGGCCAAATTGGGAAAAGTTGTAAAGTTTAGGGACAAAATGATGCTTTATCCCAAAGACCAACTACCGAGCCAGCAGTAATCTAGTATCAAACATGGTACAGTATCAGATTCATCCCAAAGATAAAGAAGCAGGATCTAGAAAATAAAGGGTTAAGTTCAATGTTGGATTCATCACTTTTACAGCCTCATCCCCAAGGCTTTGCTTGGTACGAAGGATGGAAAATTTGGTAATCAAAATGGTTATGATTCAATGTAAGAAAGTGGCTACGAATCTTAACCATTTGATTAAGAAATTTTCCATCCTCCATACCAAGCAAAGCCTAAAATTTCCATTCTCCCAAAGTCGAATGGCTTATTCTACAAACATTAACTTAGAGAGATCAAGTCAACAGTTCCATATAAATACGAATCGATTCCAAATCAGTAGCTCCATGCAAGCCTCCTCCTTTATTTCTCCTTTGAAATTTCAATCTATTATTACATCTCCATTCTTCCATAGTTTGCTAATTATTCAGCTCATAGCTATACTATATTACAGTTAAAATGGTCAGTTATCTCCCCTAAATATGATTTCTATTTCAACATAAAAAAAAAAGCTATTTTAAGTACAGCATTAACAAATATAACCATTGCACTTTATTTGATTCACAATTTTCATTAATTTTCCCACTTTTTTCTGAAATTTAAAACTATACTAGTTTATTGTTTGTTCATCCAAATAAAGCGATTCAAAGACGAGTCAAAACCCTAGCAATATTGTCCTAAAGGATCGAAATTGGGAATTAGGGGCAAAACCGGAAGTGAACCTTGACGGAAATGGTGGGGATGTGACCGTGATCCTCGGAAACAACGACATAGTCACCCAAAACTACGACGTTGCTCTGGATTTCCTCGGAGACACACTTGGTGCCGGTCTTAGGGACGTTCAACCATATTGCGCCACCGTGCGGAGCATTACTCAAACACCAAAGCAATGCCACGAACACCGCCGACCACCGTACGTTGGCATTCCCCGACATCTGTGATCGCTTTCGGCGTTGAGAAGATCTGAGAAAATGGGATTTGAGGAAGAAGCTAAACGATGAGGGTAGGATTCAGTTTCTTGTTTGCTGGATTTATTGCTCTTTAAAAGGGAAAATAATAAAAAGAAAAAAGCCTTGACCCTTCTTTCGGTATAAAACAACCTTTAGTCCCAAACTTAGTAATCGTTTTTAATTTGGTCCCTAATTCTTTTTCAATCACATGAGTCTCGAACTAGATAACTTTCTTTTGAGGATGTATCAAAGTATAATCTCATAATGCCATCTTATTAAAGTGATCAAAAATCAAAATTTTAAAAAGCTGATTAAAAAATTTAGGGTAAATTGCTCATTTTAGTAACTAAACTATATGTTTTTATCTACTTTAGTACCTAAACTTTTAAAAAAATTTCAAAATCGTGCATAACGTTTACTTTTTGTTTCATTTTAACACTCCACCGTTAAAAATATAATGTGTTTAGTATCTAACTATTAATTTTGGTATGTTTTAGTACCTAAATTTTCATTTTTTTAAACCTAATGTTAAATTTTGAATAGAGGTACTAAATGAAATAAAAATTAAACGTTAGCTATGATTTTGAAAAAATTGAAAGTTTAGGTACTTAAAAGGACCAAAACTGATAGTTTAAGTACTAAAATCATAATTTACCCAAAAACAAGAATTAGATAATAAACATATTAAATATAGAAATTAAAATTACAAATTACAAATATAAAAAATATAATCTGATAGTTATAATCAATCTTTTTATGCATTAATTGAACTTTAAAATCATAATATATATATATATATATAAACTCAAACACTAATTATATTCGATAATAAAAATGGACCGTGGGATAATGGGGTGGTCTCATCTCTACAAATTTCAAATTTTATATAATTTAAAATTTTCTAATATAATTTTATATAATGATATTTTATAATTTTGTATTTCTTAAATTTTTCTTTCGCTAGTTAAAATATGTTTGATAAATCATTAAAAATTATTAATTTTAGTTTTTAATATTTTGAGTATATTTGGTAATTATCCATTATTATTATTCTCAATAGAAAAGTGTTACAAATATTAAGTAGATAAGTATACTTATCCTCTAATGAATTATATTTTTAAACTTTTATTTTAATTTCATAATTCGGAGGTCTCTTACGGAAGCTGCTCTCAATCTGGTGTTGGGGGTAGCCTACTATCTTACCTCCCCTTACCCCATACATATGGGAAAAAGGGATAGCCATTTTAAATGACCATCCAGCTCAGTTGGTAGAGCACAAGGTTCTTAATTTTGAGATCGTGGGATCGAGTCCCACGGAGGGCATTTCATAATTCGGAGGTCTCTTACAGAAGCTGCTCTCAACCTGGTGTTGGGGGTAGCCTACTATCTTACCTCCCCTTACCCCATACATATGGAAAAAAAGGACAGTCATTTACTTATTTCTAATATCATGAGTAAAATACATTGAAAATCTTGAATTTTTTTCTGTAAAAGTTTTAAAAACAATATTACATTAAATAGATATTTTACTCTGAAAATTATAATTTAAATTTCATTTAGACTGATCCAAAAAGTTTGAAGTACAACCTATTTATTGAATAATTAAAATTAAGGGCATGTTTGTTTGCCTCTTAATAGAATCATTCAGTGCTGAATGTTGAACCGTTCAGCATTCAGCGCGTTTGTTTCGCACCTCTGAATGATTCAGTGCTGACTGATTCAGCAAAACAGTACTGAATGATTCAGTACAGAAGTACATTCTGAATGATTCAGAATTATTATCAAACAACATGTCACATTCAGAACTAATTCATACAGAACCTCTGAATCATTCAGCGCTTAATCATTCTGAAATAAACAAACAATCCCTAAGTGAAATATATAGTACATGTTAATAGTTTAGGAGTTAGGGTCTATAAATTTCATATATGTATACAGTCATGTGATGTTATTACAATATTAATATTTGATAAATTTAACAATTATTTTATAATAATTTAATAATTTTGATAATTATTTGGATAAGTTACGCATTTAGTACTTAAATTATCAGTTTTAGTCCGTTTTCGTACTTAAACTTTTAATTTTTAAAAACCATACCTAAAGTTTAGTTTTCATTTTATTTTAATACACTACCGTTAAAAACTTTAGTTTTTGTTTTATTTTAGTATCTCATTCAAAAATTTAACGTTAACTTTTGAAGAAGAAAAAATTGAAAGTTAAAGTATTAAAACCAACCAAAACTGATAGTTTATGTACTAAACGAGTTAAGTTTTTAACAATGGATACTAAAATAAAATAAAAACTAAATGTTAGATATGATTTAAAAAAATTTGAAAGTTTAAGTACTAAAATGGATAAAAAAGATAGTTTAAATATTAAATGCGTAGCTTACTCTAATTATTTTGTAATATTGTGATGTTATACTGTTATATTTTGATAAATTTATTAATTATTTTATAATTTTAAAAAAGTTTAATAATAAAAAATAATTTAAGCTTAATTTAATGATGTATGGTATATTTTATAATTTAATTTCAGATTTTCGGTCCACCCGACCCGACCCGAAAATTATATATCTTCCATCCTATCTGGACCCAACTCTTTTTTTTAGATAAAATCTGAATTTGGTTTGACCCGACCCGACCATAACGTTAAAAAAACAGAGTTTATATATATTTTTTAATAATATATTTATTAAAAATATTATTTTTATTAATTAAAATAGAGATTTAATTGAAAAAAATAATATATATAGAGATATTATTACAATTATCCCTAAATATATAAGATATAATTATAATTTTTTCGGATCAGATTGGATATGATGTTTTTCACCTAAATTCGAACCGAATTCGAACCGACATGACCCCGAACATAACGTTAAAAAAACCTGACCCGACCCGAACTTGAATTCTTCAAGTTTGTGTAAGCTACTCATTTGTACATCTTTTAGTGCTCCTTCGTATTTACTGGAAAGACTGTGTAGCTTCCTTTCCGTTTACAATTATGATTGTTTTCTAGAATTGGATCCCAGACAAGAATTTGATATGGAGTGGCAATTAGAGTTTTGAATGCGCCAAAAGGGAAGTGCTGCTGCAGTTTAGGGTGTGCTGATGGCTTTTGTTAGACTGGCGTTTTCAGTGTCATTCACATTGCAGTTTAATCTTTTGGTTGTCTATGATTTGCTATGCGTCTGGTGCTTTTCTGTTCGGAAGGCATCGCTGCCCCACTTTCTTGAGTACCTTCAGCATTATATATTTGTGTTAATGACCTCTTGTAGCTGAAGTAATTCCGATAAAGTTTGATGGCGTATTATTCAATATCTTCTATGAGTTGATCGACATCTCAGTGAGCATTCAACATGCGAGGAGCGTTCATTTTGATTGGGAAAATGGAAATGTCAAATATGCTAATTATGAAAACACTTGGAGCAACGTATAGAGAAGTCTATGACAGTGATAGGAAGCATGCTCTTCGTTAGAACATTAAAGAGACAGTTTCATCCCATCACTTGAGATGGGAAGTGAGCAGGTGATGGGTGCAGATGGGAAGTGAGCAGGTGACGGTGATTAGTTATAAATCTGCGGCAAGTTACTTTCTATTCTTCTCCACAGGATTTTCTGAACAAAAATTGAAGCGAGCATGACATGTCAGCTGTTTTTGTACTGTTGTCTGATTTGGAAAGATACCTGTAGTGAAAGGTTGCTGTATATTTCCCAGAATGCACGTTCCATTTTCCTGCTTGACATTTCTCTTGTTTTACAGGCGTCAACAAGAAACAGAATTAAAACTCATAGAAGAAGAGACTGCTAAGAGAGTGGAAGAAGCAATTCAGGAAAAAAGTCGAAGAGTGCTTGAACTCTGAGGAAATCAAGCAGGAAATTGATAAGCGATTAGAGGAGGGACGGAGAAGACTTAACCATGAAGTTGATGCTCATCTTGAAAAAGAGAAGGAAGCGGCCCTTCTTGAGGATAGGCAAAAGGAGGTAAATATCCAAAGACAATCATGTGATTTATTGTCTGTTGATGTTTGTTTCAATTTAACTAGATATGTTGATGTGTTTATCGATTTTTCCCTTTCTGGCTTATAGTTGTGACTTCATTTCCTGCCATTTCATGATCAATCTTGATTGATTTCGTTAACAGGAGCAAGCTCGAAAAGAGAAAGAGGAGTTAGAAAAGATGCTCGAAGAGAACCTGAAGAGGGTGGAAGAAGCTCAGAGAAGGGAAGCAATGGAACAGCAGTGGAGGGAGGCGGAAAGATATTGGGAATTAGAGGGGCTTCAAAGACAAAAGGAAGAGGCAATGAAGAGGAAGCAGCAGCAGCAGCAGGAGTAACGTTTAAACCAAATGAAATTAGTGGGAAAAAACAAGTTGCGTCTGAAGTTGTCTTTTAAAATATTAATATTATTTTTATTTCTGTTAATTCAGTTTCATGATCATAGAAATGCATATAATACATATACATATACATATATAGCAATACGTAGACTTATGCATACAATACATATACATATACATATGCAGAGGGTAAGAGGGATAAAAATGTGAACTCATTTACCAAGAACTCTACCATGGCAGTACAACTGGTGCAGGAAATGATCATTTTACAAGTGGAAAAAGAATTGTCAAAAGGACAAAAAGTAGAGAAAGGAATGAAGAAGCAATGGTAACAAGAGATGAATGTACACAACTTGTATTCATGGTTGTTCAGGGAAAACCTTTTGTTCCAAGAAATCGATGAAACGTTTAGCATACAGCTCGGGTTCCACAACAGATATCGACGTGGGGCCGAATTTCACTGATTTGCATGCATGCTCTGCCTTTTTCTTTGCATTGTATTCCTGTAAAATATCAATTATTCCCATATAGAGAACCACATCATATACCTCACAAAGTTCAACTTCTGCTGAATCGGACTCATCTTGGGAAAGTTTCCGAGTAGCCTGTGCTGGCATGTTTACTCCTAATTGCACCCGTAACCTGAGTTAAAAGGCGGTCGCCAACCATATAAAAACAACTGGAAATATGAAAACCTTCTAGAGAAACAGTACAA